GCAAGAAAGGCATCAGGTCTGGATGGTGTGGGGCATTTCTGAAGGTAACAGAAAGCTCAAGGAGGAAAAGTGAGGAGAGACACCCATGCCGCAGGGGCCGACCTTCCAGCTGCACCAGGAAGTATAAGAGACATGGCCGGTGCTCAAAGTTTCCTGAGGTGCTGGAATCTTCCCCCAAAATGTCAAACCCTGTATTGATTCTACCTCAGTGTGCTTTAATGTCTGGACTATGCTTGGGCACCAGGGACATGCAAAGTTCTGCAGGCGAGCAGCGATGTAGCCACAGTAGTGACTTTTGCTGGAGTTAGAGTTGCCTCTGATCCCAGGTCTACCTGGCACCTCAGTGAGCTGCCAGAGCCTCAGGATCCCAATCTTAAAGCAAGAATTCAGCACAGAATTGTGAACTTGTTGGGAAAGTGAGTCTTATATTCTGTTCTCAATGCAGCAACATGGAGTTGATTGAGGATTTCTCCCGTCCACCACTGGTGCCTGTGAAGGGCATCCCACTCATCAAATACTTTGCAGAGACTATTGGGCCATTGCAGAACTTGACAGTCTGGCCTGATGACTTGCTTATCAGCACATACCCAAAGTCTGGTGAGCAGTGGTTCCCCTAATGTCCTATAGACCTTACTTTGGTGAGCAGGGCCAGACTCTGGGACCTCCATACCTTTTTGTTGTTTGTTTAGTTGTTGTTGTTTTTCGAGATACGGTTTCTGTGTGTAGCCTGGGCTGTCCTGGAACTTGCTCTGTAGACCAGGCTGGCCACAAACTCAGAGATCTGCCTGCCTCTGCCTCCCAAGTGCTGGGAATAAAAGTGTACACCATCACCTCCTGGCTCCTCCTCACCCCTTTTTCCCTTCTTTCCAGGTACTACCTGGATGAGTGAGATCCTGGACATGATCTACCAGGATGGCCAGCTAGAAAAGTGTCGCCGGGCCCCCATCTATGCCCGGGTGCCCTTCCTTGAGTTCAAATGCCCAGGAGTTCCCTCAGGTATGAACACTAGGGTGCTAGACACAAGTGGAGAGAGGTAGGACCTCTTAACAAAGTTCTCTGCTCAACTGTAGGTCTTGAATCTTTGGAAGAGACACCAGCCCCACGGCTCCTCAAGACACATCTGCCCCTGTCGTTGCTTCCTCAGAGTCTGCTGGATCAGAAGATCAAGGTAAAAACAAAAACAAGAAAGACCAGTTATGATGGTACCTTCCAGCATTTGGGAAGGAGAGGCAGAAGGATCACAGTAAGTTCAAGACCAGTCTGAGCTGTATCTCACCCTGTTTCAGGAAGACAGAGGAAAAGAAAGGAAAAGAGGGAGGAAGGGAAGGAAAGAGGGGGACACAGGGAGAGAAGGGGGGCTAAGGCGAGAGGATTCAAGGGCTCCTGGGATCATCCTACCCTTGATCTGTTCTGCTGGGAATTGTGGGACTACTCAAGCCCTGTTTCATCTTGGATGGAGGATCTCTGGCTGTCACTCTGGCAGGGCTCAGGTAACAAGGAAAATGAATTCTTCAGTGTAAGCTACAGAAGCTCACAGGACAGAGATGGAGGGCGGGTGGAACTCTGACCTACCACGTGGATGTATTGACAATAGTGGAGTCAGATAAAATATAGTTCATGGAATAGTCAGGACTGTGGCATCAAAGGTGAAATCTTAGGTCAGTGGTGCCCATACCATGAAGTCTCAACAAGTCAACTTCTAGTCCTGTGTTCTCTTCTGCCTTCCCCAAAAGAAGTGCTGAGAGTCCCCAGTGCTAGAAAGTATGACACCTCACTGGGTCCTGTGAAGGGTGACAGGACAGCAGAAGGAACCAGAACTAGGGATTGTCTCCCCCTGCAGGTGATCTACATTGCTCGAAATCCAAAGGATGTGGTTGTCTCCTATTATAATTTCTACAACATGGCCAAGCTACACCCTGATCCAGGCACCTGGGAGAGCTTCCTGGAGAACTTCATGGACGGGAAAGGTGAATCTGAGTCTGTAGCCAGGAGGGGGCTGGACCCAGGGGCAGAGCTGGAGCTAACAGGCCTGTGTCTGTGCCGTCTTGTCCCCAGTGTCCTATGGGTCGTGGTTCCAGCACGTGAAGGAGTGGTGGGAGCTGACACACACCCACCCTGTCCTCTACCTCTTCTATGAAGACATGAAGGAGGTGAGGCTGCCTGCTACCACCTCCTTCTGGGTCCCACAGGCAGGACCCTCAGGAACCTGGCCCTGTCCTGGCCCTGAGCCCCATCCCTATCCCAGCCCCACCCCAGACAGCACCCCCCATCTTACCTCCTGGCTCAGGACCCCAGCACAGCTCAGCAGAGAGCATGCTCAGCCCTTATCTTGGAGTAGGTGTCAGTCATGTGCCAGGACTGACCTGGTGGCTTGCTGCTCTTGCTTCTCCCTGCTCCAGAGGTGCCAAGTCTGGGCACCAGTGATCAAATCTGTCCCTGTCCTCTCCAGAATGAACCCAGAGATCATGCCAAGACAAGTTAGAAACTACCTACTTTGCATCAGGGCAAGAGGCTGAGTCAAGGAATTAGTTCTGAGAGTTCCTTGGTAGAAGTGGCCAGCTCCCTGTGGGTCACACCCCAAACTCATCCCAGTGAGCAATCAGAGATCCTCTCTACACTCTAGAACCCCAAACGGGAGATCAAGAAGGTCCTAGAGTTTTTGGGGCGCTCTCTACATGAAGAGACTGTGGATCTCATTGTTCATCACACATCATTCAAGAAAATGAAAGAGAACCCCATGACTAACTACACCACCCTCCCCTCTGAAATCATGGACCATGGTGTTTCTCCCTTCATGAGGAAAGGTAGGTAGTGGCCTGGATGGTCATTTGGAGTATTTGGGGGAGGGAGGTTGGATGCACCAACAATACTGTAGTCACGTGGTCCTGTGGCTGTGACTCAACAGTCTCTCTCTTCCTCTCTCCCTCTGCAGGTACCACTGGGGACTGGAAAAACACCTTCACTGTAGCCCAGAATGAACGCTTCGATGCCCATTATGCTAAGATGATGAAAGGCTGCAACCTCAAGTTCCGTGGCATCTGTAAGTGGGGGTGGCTATATTGGGAATGAAGGCAAACTGACATAACCCATTATGGCCTCAAGACTAAAACATGACGCATCCTGCTGTATTCCTACAGGAAATCTGAGCGAGGAGAATGAACAGGACTGAGGACGTGTCTGAACGAAGATGGTTTTATCAACGTGTGTCAGGAAAGCAATGGATCCGAGCACTGAACAGGAACCAACCATTCAAGAACGGAAGACAAACTGTATTTTACCTGAAAGAATAAATGCCCTGCGAGCTGACTGGGCCTTCTCCCTTCTGCGGCCATCAATCCCATGTGTCTGATGGAGGAGGGCAAGAAGGTCTGAAGCATTGAGGCCCAGGAGACGTGGTGAGAGGGAAGAGTATTTATTTCATTACAGGACTCCTTTGTTGCCTTCTCCCGTGAGGTCGGCAGGGGCAGACTCTAGCCTGCCCC